AAAAAGTATATATTATTCATAATAACTCAGTTTTATATATTATTTGAACGTATAAGTAATATATTTTCTAATATAAATGGATTCCTTTTTGTTCGTTGTGACGATAACACAAATTTTAGCCCCGAAAAGGCCCTTTGCGGGAACCGCCAGTACTATAAGAGCAAGTTTATATAATTCTGGATATTCAAATTATTCCATTTCAAAATAACTGAACTGGTTTTTATAAAGATTCTTTCTCCTTCAAAAAAAAATTATATCGGTTTGGTTACGGTTCAGATATTTATAACTGTTTATAATGGTTCTAAAGGTTCGCTACGGTTCCTCCCTGATGATAACGCCATCTTTATCTCCCAAAATATCCGAACCGATCAGCTGCGATTGGTTGAATTATAAATGTAATAATTATATTACAATACGCATTTGGCCGCCATATATTATTATACTTACTATTATATACCTTATCAGCAGCTTAAAAATTGTAATAGCTTTTCGAAATGTATTGTGATATAACTAGCAATAAAACAATAAAAAGATATGTCCTGCGAAACCACAGGGTCCTCCAGTACCCTTTGGCACTGGTGTGGGGTGGGAGTAAGTTAAAATTTAATAATTTTTAAAATGCCTTATTAGATTTATATTAAATATTATTAAAAGTTTAGATACACTAAAAAATTTTAAATAACTATTTGTCGAGATCCATCATTTAAGTTTAAACATTAATGATGTCTGATTCGATTGTATGAACTACAATTAGTTTGTTAATCAACTGAGTCGTGTCGAAGAAAAATGAGCCACGTTTTGGGTGGAAAAAATCGAACCAAACTGACTTGAGTTATGAACTCGGGTCGTGAACTCAAGTCTTATATACTTGAGTAGACGACTAGAGGAGGATTTTAAATTAGTTATAATTAATTAAGATAATGATTCTGTTTTTTACATTTTTTTTAATATAGACTTCCAATTTGAGTCGTGAATACGAATTATATACTTGAATCGACTAGAGGACGAATATTTCTATTCACTTGAGTCGACTAGAGGACGAATATTTTAAACTAGTTATTATTAATTAAAATATTTGTTGTTTTTTTTACATTTTTTCACTTTATACTTCCAACTTTAGTCATGACTACGAATTTTATAGGACGAATAGTTTTATGAACTTGAGTCTCAACTTAAGTCGACTAGAGGACGAATATTTCAAATTAGTTATTATTAGACCTATGCGCTAGCCGGCCGTTGGCCGGCCGCCGGCTTTTTTGGGTATGCCGAAACGCCGCCTTTCATATCGCGGCGTACGGCCGGTGCAGAATTTTTTTTCATATTTTATACCTTTTTATTTTAATAATTGGTCAACATCACTGTTGTAATTTTATTAATGCCAATCAGGATTTTAATGAATTTTTATTTTCTACATGTTTTTATTATATAATAGGAATTAATAAATTATAATAGTTATTAAATAGCAATATATTTAAATTATATTTCACGCACTCATTAAATTTTTTGTATTTATTTTATGAATGTTATATAGCTCCACCATATTCTTCTACAATTTTAAAATTATAATTATATTGATGTTATGATAAATTTCACTCCACCATATCCTTCTACAATTTGAAAATTATAATTATATTGATGTCATCATAAAATTCACTCTACCATATCCTTCTACAATTTTAAAATTATAATTATATTGATGTCATTATAAAATTCAATCATTCAAAGTTACCATAATTTTACATATTTTTAAAATGGATGCATCAACATTTAATAATTCCATAAATAATTTTAGTATTATAACAGTAAATAATAAAAATAAAAAATCTTTTGTTTGGAAATTTTTTGGTTTCTTACATTTAAAAAGAGATAATAAAATAATTTCCATAAATTCGGACAAATTTTATTGTAATTCTTGCTTGGAAAAGGCTATTGTAGACGATGAGGATTCAAATAAGCCATTTTCACAGTATAATTTTTTAAAATATTATACCCTCATATTAAGCCAAAATCTTTAATAAATTAAAATATATGTTTTGTAAAATATAATCTAGCTATAGAATTCAAAACTTTTCAATCAATATTAGCACAGGAAATTTGTTAAAACACTTGACTTCTGATCATAATATTAAAGAAGATACTTCATCAAAATCACAAGATTTAAAAAAATATTTTATATCCAAACCAAAATTCCAGACAAATTCTAAAACTTCTAAAAAATGGCTTTTATCAAGGTTATTATGTTGTGCTGACTTATTACCTTTTCAATCAATTGATAATATAGGAATGAAAGATTTTTTGAAGGTATCAAATTTATAAAAATATTGTTATATTATTCATAATATCTACCTTTATGTTGTTTTTTTTCTATTAAAATAGCATTAGCTGATGAGGAAGGTTTACAATAGTTGAATTTCATAGCCATGCTAATAATATGATTTACACATAGACATGAATGATTTAAATAATATTAAATTTGTCCTAATAACTAATTTATTGTTTGACATAAACTAATTCTGTTATAAATTTCAAAATACTTATTTTTAGAAATATCAAGTTATCAACTATGATTCTGATTTGCCAGACAGGACAACATTAAGCCGTACTGCTCTTAATGATGTTTACCTATCAATGAAAGCATATGTACAAGAACAAATTAACTCAGGGCCAAAATTTTGCTCTATTACATTCGATATGTGGACAGATTAATATAGAAGAAGAAACTATATTACATTTACACTTCATTTAATAAATGATAATTTTGAAATGATTTACTTTACTTTAGCAACTCATTATATAACCCAAAAACACACAGGCGAGACTATTCTAACTGAGATTGAGAAAATAGAAGAGGAATTTAATTTAAAAAAGAAAAAAATACAAATGGTTACAGATGCTGGGCCTAATGTTAGAAAGGGTGTAGGTGAATATGAACACCACTTATGTTTGGGTCATGGTTTACACAATCTTGTTAAAGTAGATGGTAATAAAGAGGTACCCTTTGTTGAAAATCTAATCATAAGAATTAGAGAAATTATTACTGCTCTAAGATATAAAACTGCAGAGGTTGAATTTGAATTCGCAGATCAAAGAAATTGCCTAAGTATAATAGATTTAACATCAGACATGTTAGATCTTGATAGCACTGATCCATACCCAGATACCCGTTTTCAAATTGGAAATTCCAATGATAATAATTCAACGCATATGAAAACTTTAAAATTAAATGTCCCAACACGTTGGCATAGTATATTAATTATGCTAGAAAGCATATCGGGATTAAATAAGAATTTAATAAATAATGTTTTAAAAAGAATTGGGAAACACTTTCTAAAATTATCAACCTATGAATCTGATCTGGTAGAAGAACTATTGGCATTTCTATCAAAATTTAAAGAAACTGTAGAATTTCTTTCAGCACAAAAGGGCCTACGTTAAACTTGGCGTTACTTTTTAGAAGTGAAATTGAAACACATTTAATAGTAAATGATAGTGATAGTTCTGAAATAATTTCACTTAAAGAAAATATGCTAAAAAAATTTTGTTACGATTTCCGGTTTGTGATCTGCAAGTAATAATATACATGTATATTCATTCATTTATTTAATTTATTTTTTATTTAAAAAATTATCTAGGTATTGGCTTCTCTTTTAGATCCAAGATTTCAAAAATTGACAATTGTGTCAAAGTATATAGAAGAGCAAAATTGCACAACTTCAGAATTTATAATAAAACATCTTAAACTTAGAGAGAATGATGATATTTAAGTAGTAAATATAGCGACTGAGGATCAAGAGATATTATCAAATTCAAGTTATTTGACAAAACTGGCAAATAAACATTCCACAATTAACAATTATGATTCCACATTAGGTGACTTAGAACAAGAATGCCACATTCTACTTGGAAAACGACATTCACAAGAAATGGGTGTTTTAAATTTTTGGAGTCGGCGCAACAGGTCTAGTTATTATTAATTAGGATGTCCTCTAGTCGACTCAAGTATATAATTCGTATTCACGACTCAAGTTGAAAGCCTATGGTAAAAAAATGTAAAAAGCAACAAATTTCTTATTATAATAACTAATTGAAAATATTCGCCCTCTAGTCAACTCAAGTATATATTCGTCACGACTAAAGTTGGAAGTCTAAACAAAGTAAAAAATGTATAATACAGAACAAATATCTTAATTAATAATAACTAATTTGAAATATTTGTCCTCTAGTTGACTCAAGTTGTAAAAAATTAAGATTAGTATAAAATAAAAGATTTTCTATGTAAAAAGTTAAAATTTGTATAAAACATAAGGTTCGCAATATATATTACTTCTATAACTTTTTCTAACCGAAGGATTAGTCCCTTGTAATAACATAAATAATCATCACATATGTGAAATGCTGCAAACATTCGTGAAAATAGATGATGTACACTCTAACTCTTTCGAGGGTGATAAAATTAAATTCCTGATAGTTAATTAAATGCCAATCATTAAATTTACGGATAGATAAAGTCAATGACATATATACTAGACTGACGATTCATTCATTAAAATGCATTTTTAAGTGTCGTTAAAAGCAAATCAGCTGGACCCGCCATCTTGGTAACACATATAGTAATTATTCTCATGTTAAAAACTACTATTAAATTGATAACTTGCATCCTTATTATCTCGATGATCCGGTAATTCTTTAATAAAGCTTGCCTTAGATATAGGAATAATTTAGGCTCTCGTTTAAAATTTGAATAATGATTAGTGTAACCAAGATGGCGTCTCCAGCTGATTTGCATTGATTTACCCTTTTAATGAATGAATCGTCAGTCTAGGTATTATATGTCATTGGATTTAGTTAACCGCTAAAACTATGTGATTATATGGGTTAGGATTAATTAAAGGTTTTGTAGATATGGATTACTTCTGGTTTTTACCAATATTTAATCATTTTTTAATATGTCAAATCTGTCAATTCATGTGATTAAAAAGAAATTCCTTGAGTTGGACAATAATCGCAGTAATTAATTTCAATAAATTCTAAAAGCTAAACTTGTAAAGTAAACTACATTCTAATTATTTAAAAAACATCTATAGAATATGTATAAATTGTATTGCTTTATAAAAAGGATGGACCATATATTCTTCCTTAATTTTAATAGATCAATATTCATTTAAAAATTAAATTAACTTTTAATTATTAAAATTATTGATAATATATTTTAGACTACCATTTACTTAATCGGAATGGCTTTAATAATCATATGTGGCTATCCTATGAGTTGCAAATCTGATTTTGCATCTAAACTTAAAGAATACCTTGACAAACAAGATGGCAAAAATATTGTTTTAATAACTGATTCAGATTATATGAAAAATAAAAATGAAACTTATAAAAGTGTGTCAATAATTGTAAAGCATGATTAAAAATTATTTATAGATCTAAAATATGAAATGGAGTTAAGACAAATTCTCAAAGCTCAAACAAAAAAGTTTTATTTATTTATCTAATTTTATAAAGTATTTTATCAGATTGTTAAATGAAAAGAATATAGTCATTCTAGATTCAACTAATTATATTAAAAGTATTTTTGATTTATGATTTTTATTTTAAATTACTCTAGGTTTTCGATATGAACTTTTTTGTATAGCAAAATCACTGGGATTAAAATATTGTGTGGTAAAATTTATTGCACAAATATTTAATCAATTATTTTAAGATATATTGTTGTATATCTGAAGAGGATGTCATTAAAATTAATAATGAAAATACAAATAAATATGAGACAGAAATGTAATTAAGAATATAGTAAAATTTTAATTATCCTAATTTTAGATTAAAGGAAATTATATCTAGATTTGAGGAGCCATCTTTTAAAAATCGGTGGGATATGCCCTTATTTGTAATAGATCCTAGGAAAAAAGATATAAATTTAGATGAGATTTATAAAACAATAATTGTGAATAATAAAGTTTTAACACCAAATATTGCAACTAAAAATCAAGCTCTTCCTCTCAATTATATTCAAGATATTGATAAATTAACTCAGGAAATAATTAAAGTTTTATAGGAAATATATAAATATTAATAAACATGTAATATAAAAAGGAAATTTTAAATGCTCAAAAGAACAATATCGAATGTGTAGAATTTAGCAACTCTTTGAAAACTTTGACATTATTTAAAAAACATAATATGATAAATTTGTATAAGATGCGAAAAAATTTCATTAATATGATAAATAATAATTTTTCTTCAAAAATTGAAGAAAATTCTAAAAATATAATTAACAATATTAGAGATATATTTATTGATTATTTAAATGAACAATTGTAAATGGTACAGGTATATATAATAAAAATTTTGTATATACTAAAATGTTTTTAATTATAAACAATATTTTTACCAATATTAAAATGACCTGGTTTTAGAGTAATAGATAATAAATTATCTTGGAATGTTTATAAAACTTTAAAATAGGTTATAACATAAATACATGAAGGAGGGGTCAGTATTGGCAAATAAAATCTCATATTTTTAAAAAAATTATTTTTTAACAATTTCTTGATGTCTGGTACAGAACAGATTTTTGGGCAATCAAATCTAATTCCTTCTTTATAATTTTGTCATATAACAAGCTTTAGTGTTATAGATATTGCATGATGATGTGTATGCATATCTGTTACCAATTCTGAGATATAAATAGGTATACCTGTGTCAATATCATGTGTTATGAACTTAATTTTTTTTATTTCAAGTATAATTTGATACTATACAATTACTGAAGAGAGCTAGCTACCTAGAGACATTACTATTCTTCTGCCATTTTGAAGGCTTAAACTATTATTATATAGACAAAGAATTGGAGTAATAAATAAAAATTTATTAAGAGGTGGAGAAATTTGGTACAAAAGTGAATTACATATTAGGCATGGTCATTGTATACTACAGAAGAACTTTATTTAGAAGTAATTAATTTGAAATTTTAGGAGATAGTAAAATATTTAGACCTGGCTTTACAGAGTAATGATAATTAATAAGAAAGAACCAAAGCACAGGGAAGATGAAGATTTGTGGGTCAAACATAAATTTTATTTAATGTAGAAATCTGTGTAGCTTCTGGGAAATACTAAGGAAAAGCTTGTGCTCAATGATGTGAATGATTTTGTGGATATTCAGTTAATCAACAAAGAAGCATGTAATAAACGAAAACACTAGGAAAGCATAGGTTTAAAATGAAGATGCCAGTTTACCTTTAAACAAGTAAAATGGGGCAATCAGTGAAAAAAAGATTTTTGTGATTCCTTGAAAATAAAATAACAAATGAGTTGCAAACTTATTTGCGATTTTTTAAAATGATATATAACGCTACTAGTGTTGTTAAACGGCTAAGCCGAGTCGACTTAGCTACGACTCGAGCCTAGTTTCTAGTCGATAAAACAGCTCAGACTCGAGTCGACTAAATGAGCCGCATTAGTCGGCTCACTTAGTCGACTCAGAGGTTAGCTTGAGTTTAATTTAAATTTAGAGCCAAAATTTATTTTTATGTTATTGAGATATTTTAAATAATAATGTAGAATTTCATTTATTTATTTTTAGTGAAATAATTTATTTTATTTATATTTAATGTTAATATTTTATTATTATCAAACAAAAAATTTTTTTAAATTTTATTTCAAATATGTTTTGATCGATCTTATAATAAAAATGGATTTATTTATTTTATTTTTTTTAAATAAATAAAAATTCATATTTTCGAGCTAAAATTTTTAAGCAAAAAATAATTTTGCTTAAATACAAAAATATTTTTGAAACACATTTTGTTGATTTTTTTATAAATTTTTAAATCTTTTTTAAGAAATATTTTGTTAATTTTATCATAAATAAATAATCTTTTAGGTCAAATCTTCTATAGTTTTTTTTTATATTATTTTTATAAATATATCTATATTTTAAGTTTATTATTGGAGGTGGCTTTTTCTAAATATTTTTTTAATAAATATATTTATATTTTAAGAATATTAAAAGAGGTGGTTTTTTTTTTTCTAAATAATTTTTTTTTAAAATATATCTATATTTTAAGTATATTAAAAGAGGTGGTTTTTCTAAATTATTTTTTTATTAATATTTATGTCAAACTTTTTTTTAATGCGACAATTGTCATATGCGTTATTTTTTAAGATTTTTGAAATTTTTGGACACAAAAGGGTTATAATATAATTTATATTGTAAAGATATTATATTATAAATTTAATTAAGATGTTCCCTGGAAAAATGATAATTATCATAATAGGTAGGTATATTTTTGAACATATAAGATTTTTTTGTGACGCTAATGGGCAAAAATATGTTTCTTTAACAGGTAAAATTTAATGTAGATGTACCCTAGATAAATGACAATTGTCATAATAGTTATTTTTAAAGTTTTTTAAATTTTTTTGACGTAAATAGGCTAAAATAAGTACTGCTAACATGTCTAAATAAAACTTCAGTGAAGATGTACCCTAGAAAAGTAACAATTGTCATAATCGTTCGAATTTTTTTGACGTAAATGGGCTAAAATAAGCATTGCTAACATGTTAAAATAAAATTTTAGTGAAGATGTACACTAGATAAGTGACAATTGTCGTAATCGTTGTTTTTAAAATTTTTTTGACGTAAATGGGCTAAAATAAGAATTGCTAACATGTTTAAATAAAATTTAAGTGAAGATGTACCACAGATAAGTGACAATATCGTTGTTTTTAAAGTTTTTCAAATTTTTTTTGACGTAAATGGGCTAAAATAAGCATTGCTAACATGTTTAAATAATATTTTAGTGGAGATGTACCATGGATAAGTGACATTTGTCATAATCGTTGTTTTTAAAGTTTTTCGAATTTTTTTGACGTAGATGGGCTAAAATAAGCATTGCTAACATGTTTAAATAAAATTTTAGTGAAGATGTACGATAGATAAGTGACAATTTTCATAATGGTTGTTTTTAAAGTTTTTCGAATATTTTTGACGTAAATGGGCTAAAATAAGCATTGCTAACATGTTTAAATAAAATTTTAGTGGAGATGTACCAACTATTATGACAATTGTCATTTATCTAGGGTACATTTTCATTAAATTTTTAATTTATCATCTTAGCAATCTATATTTATGCCCATTTACGTCAAAAAATTCAAAAAACTTTAAAAACAACGATTATGACAAATGTCACTTATCTATGGTACATCTCCACTAAAATATTATTTAAACATGTTAGCAATGCTTATTTTAGCCCATTTACGTCAAAAAAATTCGAAAAACTTTAAAAACAACCATTATGACAATTGTCACTTATCTATCGTACATCTTCACTAAAATTTTGTTTAAACATGTTAGCAATGCTTACTTTAGCTCATTTACTTCAAAAAAATTCGAAAAACTTTAAAAACAACGATTATGACAATTGTCACTTATCTATCGTACATCTTTACTAAAATTTTATTTAAACATGTTAGCAATGCTTATTTTAGCCCATTTACGTCAAAAAAATTCGAAAAACTTTAAAAACAACGATTATGACAATTGTCACATATCTAGGGTACATCTTCACTTAAATTTTATTTTAACATGTTAGCAATGCTTATTTTAGACTATTTACTTCAAAAAAATTCGAAAAACTTTAAAAACAACGATTACGACAATTGTCACTTATCTAGAGTACATCTTCACTTAAATTTTATTTTAACATGTTAGCAATGCTTATTTTAGCCCATTTACGTCAAAAAAATTCGAAAAACTTTAAAAACAACGATTATGACAATTGTCACTTATCTAGGGTACATCTTCACTTAAATTTTATTTCAACATGTTAGCAATGCTTTTTTTAGCCCATTTACTTCAAAAAAATTCGAAAAACTTTAAAAACAACGATTATGACAATTGTCACTTATCTAAGGGTACATCTTCACTTAAATTTTATTTTAACATGTTAGCAATGCTTATTTTAGCCCATTTACGTCAAAAAAATTCGAAAAACTTTAAAAACAACGATTATGACAATTGTTACTTTTCTAGGGTACATCTCCACTAAAATATTATTTAAACATGTTAGCAATGCTTATTTTAGCCCATTTACGTCAAAAAAATTCGAAAAACTTTAAAAACAACGATTATGACAATTTTCACTTATCTAGGGTACATCATTTAGACATGTTAGCAGTACTTATTTTAGCCTATTTACGTCAAAAAAATTTAAAAAACTTTAAAAATAACTATTATGACAATTGTCATTTTTCTAGGGTACATCTACATTAAATTTTACCTGTTAAAGAAACATATTTTTGCCCATTAGCGTCACAAAAAAATCTTATATGTTCAAAAATATACCTACCTATTATGATAATTATCATTTTTCCAGGGAACATCTTCATTGAATTTATAATATAATATCTTTACAATATAAATTATATTATAACCCTTTTGTGTCCAAAAATTTCAAAAATCTTAAAAAATAACGCATATGACAATTGTCGCATTAAAAAAAAGTTTGACATAAATATTAATAAAAAAATAATTTAGAAAAACCACCTCTTTTAATATACTTAAAATATAGATATATTTAAAAAAAAATTATTTAGAAAAAGAAAAACCATAATATTCTTAAAATATAAATATATTTATTAAAAAAATATTTAGAAAAAGCCACCTCTAATAATAAACTTAAAATATAGATATATTTATAAAAATAATATAAAAAAAACTATAGAAGATTTGACCTAAAAGATTATTTATTTATGATATAATTAAAAAAAGAATAAAATTTTATGATAAAACAAAAGAATAAAATTTCTTCAAAAAATCAGCAAAATATGTTTCAAAAAAATTTTTGTACTTCAAAAAATATTTTTTGCTTAAAATTTTTAGCTCAAAAATATTAATTTTTTTTTATTTAAAAAAAAATCAAATAAATAAATCCATTTTTATTATAATCAAATCAAAACATATTATTTGCATTAAATAAAATATAAATAAAATAAATTATTTTACTAAAAATAAATAAATAAAATTCTACATTATTATTTAAAATTTCTCAATAACATAAAAATAATTTTTGGCTCTAAATTTAAAATAAACTCAAGCTACCCTCTGAGCCCACTAAGTGAGCCGACTCATGCGGCTCTTTGATCGGCTTGAGCCGGAGCCGTTTTTTACGACTATGACTCGAGTCGCAAGTCGTAAGAACTCGACTTTTTAACAACACTAAACGCTACATATAATCGTGCAAATCTGAACATTTCATTTTAACCTTTTATTGCATAGGTGGGACTATGCAGCTAGTCATTTTAAAAAGGTTAATTAAAATTCTTTCCATATTTCATGAATCTTTTAGTAATTTTAAATTTTTGGATAAAGTATATATGCAAAATTAATCTAGATTTTTCCCAGTAGTTCAAGAGTTATAAGGGTTTTTTGGAGCTTGGAGTCACATTGACCCAACCTGTTCGCCCATATAACTTTCTCCACCTGTTTTGGCATTGATATATTAAGCATAAATAAATATTTTAAATATAGATCATATTATATTAATATTTGAACCTTTAAACATTCTAAATCATCAATTTTATTTATATATTTTTTTTATATCAATGTGACTTTAAAATAATTTGTCACTTTTTGACTCCCTTGACAAAAGCTGTCATATAAAATAACATTAAATAATTAAAATAATTGATATTTAATTGTTTTTTTAAATTGAGGTCTGTAGGTAGCCCAACTATTCTCTGCGTGATTTTTCTTTCACCTGTGCAATGAAGGGTTAAATTATTTGCATCAACACAGTCAAAATTGCGCAATTTAAACGCCATATTATAGTCCATTCATAAATGATAATTACGATACTTTAACAAGGTAAAATGTTACAATGTAATATATGGCGCCTATTGGAATATTTAATCTTTTATTTATTATACATGATTTTTGTGTATATAAATTGTTAGCTAATATTAATTGCAAATATTTTAAAAAAATCACCAACGAATTTGTTTTTTGTATTCATCTTTCACGCTAAATCGCTTCATTGATTCGTAACCCAAAATAATAAAAAAGGAATAAATAATTGACTGAGTACATCTCGCGGATAATCCTTTTTTGAAAATTCCTAATTTTTCCTCTTCCCACAAGGTTTGAATGGTTGACAAATAGGACATTCTGCTGACCTTAATTAAAATTAGAAAAGTAATATTAGAAAAAATTATAAAGCAATTTGCCCTAATGTTTATCAAAAAAACGCGAACAAATTTATAATAATTTCATTACCAGCTATGTTGGCTTTGAACTTACTCCTCCTTTTTTGAATTTTTTTATAACAATATTATTAAATAGTACTATAGTATTTATAAGAACTGTAGTGTTTAGCGTTTGTTTACAAAACATTTTGTTAGTTTAAATTTAAGTAATATATATTTTTTTAAATGTTAAAAACGGGAGGGAGTTATGAGCAGAACAAAAATATCCCATATTTATGCTGATTGGTATCAATTAGGAATGTAAGCAAAAAAAATTTAACCCCAATTTCCATAATGTGTTTTTTAATCAAATAAGCACGATTTTTTTAATCGTATTTTACTAGAATATTCTCATGGTTTATAAATCATAATTGTATTTTGCTTTTGTATCCATCGTTCATTCTCAATCACCTCGATAATATAATAGCTCAACTCAAGTAATGTTCGCCTGAAGGAAATTTTTTTAATTAGCAAAAATATATTTCAAGTTAAAACATGCAATATGTAAAGGGTAAGGAGTAGGATTAAAGGTTAGAGATATGAGTAGGGTTGGTGGTTAATTAAAGGTTTGAAATATGGATTATGCAAGGTTAATTCTTTTTCCTATAACAAATCTGAGAGGTCATGTGATGTGATTATAGACAGACCAATAAAAATTTTAATAAGTTAATGAACAATTTCCTTAATTTGATACTAAATTTCTTAATTTTTGTAATAAAATTTTATAATACACGTTTAAATTAATTATCTATTTCGGATATTATAGTTTTCTTAATTAATTACCAAGTCTAGAAAGTATGTTTACAATTAACATTGATGAAATTTATATCATAATTTAAGAAATTATAAAGATAATCTTTATATGCGTAATCAATTAAATTTCCAAAAAAATAATTTAATGCAAACAACAATTTAATGAAATATATTGATAGTATCAGATAAAGAGCAAAGTAAACTAGCTATCCAATTTCAACAGACATCTTTATATCAAATTGTATTGGAAGAAATTATTTTTATCTTTAAAACCTGCATTTAATGCCTTCAAGATAAGATACTCAGTAAAAAATGTTAAATAATGAATATGGGAAGATTAAAAAATAGTAATCGAAAGATTAAATATAAATTTGACCTCATTAATGATGGTTGCACAATTATAAAAGGCGAGTGAATTATAAATTATATTATAGCAACGCCAAGCTCCATATTCTATAAATAAATTGAAATGGTTCCAATAATATTTCTTAGAAAATAATTCACCAGAATTGATTTTCTCAAAACTTTTAAATATTTTATTTGAGGGTTTTTATTTCGTGGATATATCTATAGGGAACTCCTATTTTATTAATTTTGTAATAATATCTTAAAAAATGGGGATTTTTTCCCAGGGAATTATTTTCCTAGATTCAATTGAAATAGGGATCAAGATGGATAGGGGATTGTATATATCTAATGAATTACGAAATAATAAACACAAAAAGTAATTGAAGAAATAGGAAGCATAAAAAGTAATTCCATCCATAATATATGATAATGCAAGTAGTGCATGGGCACAGTAAATATCCAGATGTTGAATGTATTGGGTTTAAAGGTCAAAACTTAATTTTTAAGGACATAGCAAATAAAATATTGCCAATTCAAAATTAGTAGCAAAGGCCAAAGGTATTCTAATAATATAAGCTCTGCAAGTAACAAATTGCTCGTAGATGTTCAAGTCTGATCTGGAATTGTTTCCCTAATTGGCCTAATTTTCAGTTCTAACAGATACCATAAGTGAATGGATACATAAAAATGATAATTAGCTTTCCATAAATAATTTTTTTAAGACTTATATCTAAGGGAAATTATACCATAAAAAGGTATGGTTAATATTATTTTTACTTTTAATTTTATAAACATTTTTTTAAAAACAATGATGTTGATAAATTAATATCTATATACCACTTTTTTGGCTTAAATAATTTTAAATTTGGGTCTCAGAAGTTTTATAATTTTTTTCCGTTTATAATATTTTAAATTTTAGTTGCATTATGAAATTATCTGAAATGGGAGTAAGAAAAATATTATATGATTTACAAGTTAATTAACCTAGTTTTTAGCTGATAACTCATCTCACTGGGATTGTTTATTATTAAATATTCGACTTTGAAGCAAGCAAAAAATAAATCAACTCATTCATTGTTTAGTAGATTTTTTTCTGCATGCCTGTATATTGAGTCATACTAGCTGATATTTAGTGATTATAAATATATATATATACTTAATCATTTTGTGACAGTTTTCCAGGTTTACCAAGTATTTTGGGTGAACCCTATTGAATGGTTGATTACATGCTATCTTTGCTTTAAGAATTAATGTTCACCTTCATTGCAGCTCTTACTATCATAATTACCTAACTTTGGCCAATTCTAAAATATAGCTAAATTTTTATTTAAAAATAATATTCATCTCAATTTTTTGGTGGAGGTTTAAGTCATTTTTTTATGACAAAAACTTTAGCTTTGATTTCATTCAACCATTTCTCAACTATTTTTTTATATCCCTTCCAAATGATTTACATCTCATTTGACAAAATATTTCTTTATCTTTAATGTTTGTAAAAGGAAATTATGTACCAGAACCATTTATTAACTTTATTATTTTTTATTTCTAAAAGTTTTAATTTAGATGGCTTTTAAAGTAATATAAAAATAAAAGCATGTATCAATATATTTTTTTTACTTGAATTCTTGCTCTTATTATATCTAAAGGATTTGTACAAAATGCAGATGTTATTCCAGCCATTGGAGCAGATAAACATTGAAGGAATAAATGAGACACCCAAACAGGGGCCAATGTTGCTAATAGGTCTAAATAATTTAAAATTTATTAAATTATTTAAAAATATATACTGCTATAAGCTTGATAACTTGACCACCAAATAGCAGAATTGGGTACATATGATAAGAGTGAGGCAAAATATCCCCTATAAAACCCTATTAGCCCATCTTTCCTAATATTATATTATAATTTACAAACTATTTTTCTAATACTTATAAATTTGGGATATAATTGCTTTTGATAATCCTTTCCTTTTTATATCATACTTGTCTCCAATATCTAAGGTGTCAATTTTAAAAATTTTCCCATTAATAGTATTTCTTCCTAAAACCATCATATGTTGAGAGACTATATCACAGGGAACCAATATTGTTTGATTTACTAATGATGCACATCCCCCAGCAATAAATGCTCTATATTTTGTGTCCTGGATTTGAGTATAATTTTTAAGAATATGACGCGTAGATTCATATGATGTTATATAAAATAATCCAGATAATATTTGAAATGAGCTAATCATAAAACCTTTGTATAAACCATTGTAACCTTCGTATTTAAGTATATTTTTGTAAGCATCCCATGTGCCACGATATAATTCTTGCTTCTTTTGAATTTGAATTCTGGTTTTAATTACACTAAAGGGATATAGTAATGTTCTGACACTGAAAGAAGATAAAAATATTAAAGGATATAGCTTATGCTTTTCCAGCATATGCCATTCTATTGTCATGATTTTTCCAGCATCCTCATCCTCTAAACGCATTTAGCAATCTATGCTATCGGTTAAAGTAAAATTTTTAAATAAAAAAAAAACATTACAAAATTCAAAGCATTTGTAAGTGAACGAATGCTTCTATATAATCTGTCACATATAACAATAATTGGCTAAAAAAAGGCCAATAAGACACCATCAGGGAAGTAACTAGGCTTTTCAGTTTGTTAAAAGTGGCGCTTATTATGACACCTAACGATATATAACCAGGGTTGTAGCCAGGATGGGCGTGTCCCGCCGGAAATTCAATTTGATTTTATTAAGCACATTTATATATTTTTTATCAAGTATAATAACTTAAGTATATATTTTACATTTAATAATTAACATTTCCCTATTTTAATAGATTCTTAAAAAGAATATCCGATATTATTTAATGGTCATACACTGGAACTGTTTAAGTTATTATTTATAATTAACGGCGTTCGATGAAAAAGTGTTACAGGCATTAATCAGGTTAATGCGGGGCATCACTAGCCTTTAAAAATCTCAGGGGCTCACTTTTATGTGGGGTTGACCCCCTATTTTACGGGTCTTCTGTCCGCTTTTGCTCGGTCTTCAGCCGGGTTTTATATTAATATATTATACTTTTTTTTAAATTGAAATTTGCAAACTCTAAACAATTATTCTGAATTTTATATTTTGTCATTTATTTTGCATACAAATAATGAAAGAAAAATAATATGTGATTTTTCTAAAAATAAAATACAAAATATCAGGCGCGTACGCAGCGGGGGGGGGGGGGGGGAATAAATCCCCAGCCCAAGCCAAAAAATACAGATGCCGGATATATTTTTCAAAAATATTATTGTTTATATTAATTTATATTTGTTAATATTTTTATTCCTATCTCATATTAAATATATTTATTACTTTCGATTTCAAGTTTTCCGGCGTATTATTTACTTTATATTCAAATTTTTAGTGGCGTAATATTTATCTACCATTTTCAAATTTCTAGTCAAATAATAATTATTTCTGAAACTTCTTGTCCAATAGGGAGAAAAAAACAATCTTGTCGAGATAGACTCTCCGCCATCAAGCAGTAGCAGCTTTTATGGAGTTAGAAGAGCCGATTATTTGCTATTACTGAAATATCACAATAGCCTGAAAGAAATATTTCCTCAGAAGCTAAAATATTGGATTCAATGCTTATTCAAATTTTTTTTCTCTAGAATGTATTATTTAATTATACAACTATTTTATGTATTACTTTTCCAAAACATGACCTTAATTTGATTAAAAAGATGAGAATAGCGGAGAGCATTTAATTAGAAATCGAAGATATTAGGGCAATTGTTGATGAAAAATTTCATATTTTATATGTCATTGTTGAGTCAAAAGCAGAGGTGTTTAATATTTGTCTCCCTCGACTTGCAGCAAGGCAAGCTCATAGGATCAGTAGAAGAGTATATCTTAAATATATTTATATTTTAAATATATTTATAACCCAAATAAATGAATGGTTTTAATTCATCATGCAACACTTACCAATCTTAAAAAATATTACTTCCACAAAAGCCTTAGCAACCTTTTTCAGATGGTGATTGAAAAAAAATATTTGTTAGATTTTTATCATGAAGATGTTAAAGTATCTTATGATGCCTTATTAGTTGAATAACTATGTTTGTAAGAATAACTATAGATGATATTCCCCAAAAAATGCTATGCTCTGCATTATTCAAACACATTTTAGATTACATTAAAAGGGTTTATATATCTTAGCAACTCTTCCCATTAGTAAACTAATTAGAAAACATTCTCTTTTTAAAGAAGAATAACAGAGCCCTTTAAAGGTAATTTCAGGGCATGGCCTGGATTTTTTTTTAAAACTTTTTACGTCCCGGCCTGGGTTTTTTTAAAAAAATTTCAGACCCAGCCCGACTGTTTTTAAAATAAAATTTTCAAGCCCGGTCCGGATTTTTAAAAAATAAATTATATTTATTTTTGAATTTTAAATAATAACGATTTCAAATATAGGCTGTTTTAAACAGCCCGGCCCGGATATTTTTTTAAAAAATTCAGGCCCTGCCCGGGTGTTTTTTAAAAAAATTTCGGGCCCAGCCCGGGTATATTTAAAAAAATTAAAATACGGTTTGGCCCGGGGGCCGGGCCTGCAGGTCTCTGGAAAACATTCCAAAAAGTACATCCTCTGAAAGTAGATTGAAAAGTTTGGATCTTTTGAAAATTCATTGGCATTTGACGACAAGCAAGGATGAGATAATTGAAAAATTAGCACAATCCTAACGAAGATTTTACATTGTAAATATATAACATACAAAATACAATTATTCCTAAAAAAAATTTTGTGTATTTTTATATTTCTAACATTTAAATTTTTTATACTTTATATACATAAATTTTAAAGGCTCAAAAAATTCAAATTTTTATTTTGGATCATTTAAGTGATTCTTATAGTTGTTATATTCACTTTATATTTTATAATTCACATTTCTTTTATAGTTTTTCATATACTGCCTATATCCGTTTAATATTTTTTAATTCACATTTATTTTATAGTTTTTTATATGCTGGTTTATACATATAATTTTTTATAATTCACATTTAAAATTGTGTATTAGAAATAGTTATTAGTCCTAATAAATTTATGCTTGATATTTTTAACAAACAATAATATTTCTTTAAAAAATTTAATATCACCCCCCCCCCCCCAATACCAAATTCCTGCTTAAGCTAATGCAAAATATTTATCCATTTATTATTATATTAAATATTTTTGATTACGTATGCAAAAAGATTTTACGTCTCAAGAATTACAAGTGATAAAAAGGGATAATTTATTCATACATGTCTCAATTAATAATGGTTTTTAAAAACCACACAAGAATATAATTTTTAGCATAAAACTAATATAACGTTGTATTGCCATTTTAGACAATTATTACAGAATAAAATAATAAGGAAAAATTTGTAGGCTTAAATAAATCAATAATAACTGAAGAACCCGATATAAACGACTAACTCAAATCATAAAACTATATAGTGGTTAGAGCTTTCTCTTCGATTTAATTATGGAAACTAAATAAGTAATAGAGAAATTATTGTGAGATTTTAAATTTATAAGATTATCTTCCATTTTTATTGATATATAAACGACTTTGACGATTATTGCTCATCTAAATTATGCAATCAAATGCTCTCAGCAGCAGAAGTAATAATCTAAAATTACAATAGCCACACAAATAATAAATTTTACGGTTAATTTGCAGTCATATCTATAACACTCACGATGTAAATTCATATCAGAATTTATTATGTTTGCTAAATTGATAAAACTAAAACACAAAAATCTTTAAAAGAAATAATTATGCAAATATATTGAAAGATTTTAAATATTATTGTCGCACCACCTCTAGTCGGTATATTAATATGTCTTAAAATTATAATAGTTGTAATAATAAAAATATTAAAGTATTAACAATTTATCTCAAAACTGTTTTTTAAAAGAAAAAACACGTAAAAAAGAGAAGGAAAAAACAAAAAGATATTTAATAAGGATTACATCCATTGAGGGATCTATAATAAGATGTTTAATTTTAAGTAATTTATTTATTTTTAAATAAATAGATGGCGTTAAAATATTGAATTACTTATATTTATTATTAATAGGATTGATTTGTAAAGTTTATTAAAATATTAACTGTAATATATTTTATAACTTTCAAAAATGAATGTAACCGTGTCATTTTCCTTACTTATTTTGTAAAATTCTAAATAATAGATGTTTATCAATTATATGTCTACTAACTATTTATCAAGAACTTTCTTATACTTGTTTGGACTTTATAAATATTTTTAGGAAGAGGCATGTTAATTATATTTAAAAATTAATTAATGATTTTGAACTCGGCTAATTACAATATTAAATTTGTTAATTTTCAATTAATAAATGATTTTATTTATTTAATTAGGGTATGAAATAATTTTATAAAAATCAATTAAGCTTCAACTGTTAATGCTAAATTGATATTTACACATATGATTGATATTCCATTTTTAACCCATAATATGATTGTGTAAGCTGACAAAGTGAAAATATAATTTATATGTATTAATCTAATAATTAAAATAGCACTTATTTAATAAAAAATTTAGATAGCCTTATTAATTTTTAAATAATACAATAAAATATATATAATACATAATAGAATTATAAAATAAATTGTTCAGAGGGCTATCAAAAAAATAAATTTTTAGTTTGGGGGGATATTAAGAATCCAAAAAAATTTTTTGCTTCACGGGGTTATTCAAATTTTCAGAGGGCTCTAACCCCTGTGTCCCTTCCCCAGTGACGCTACTGGGTTAAAGACTTTATTTAAAATCCTTGGTGTCCTATTTGAATCAGCCAATCTGTCTAAACAGCCTCAGAGAAGAACAATGAGTTAATCTAAAGCTGAAAATTCAATAAAGTAAACGATTTATGTTTTAAAATTATTTAAGGATATTACTGGCAGGGTTGGGCAGGTCCTCTTGAAAAAGAATCTAAATACAAATAGATTCTTTGTGAAAAAATGAATCTTAGATACAGATACTAGTATCTTTTTATCTTTTTCATATCAAAAAGATACAAGATAAAAGATACTTGTATCTTTCACTTAATTAGAGTATCTTAAATACAAGATACTTTTAAATTCATTACCAATTAAATCAGAATAGCTTATAAAATACAGTTTTTGCTATTTATTTGTGAAGAACATAACATACACATAATAAGAATGAATATTTACAATAATTAATAAAACATTTAATGAGTTAATTCTAATAATCAGGCATTTTAATATTAGTATTAACCATTCATAGCAAGAAGGGGGAGTATTTTTAATGGGAGTTGAAATATTGATTTGTAAAAGAGTATTTAAAATACATTTATTATAAGATAATCAAATTTTTCAAATAATTTATCATTAAACCTTTGTCGTTTCGGCATATTTAACATTTTTACCAAAACTGAATAACCTTTCAATTAGAGCTGATGAAGGTATTACAGTATTATATGTATAAAAAATTTCCTTAATAGAAGGATAAAAATT